CAGATACCTCCTTTTTTTTTTTTCTTCTTTTTTTTTTTTTTCTTTTAAAGTGAACACGACTACATTTTTCCCCAGGCAGACTGACAATCATTTTTTGTTGTAGGGTGAAGCAGCAGGTACTAACAATAATCAGCGGGTAATCCACGGGGGCGGTTAAACAAAGAGGCTAAAAATGGTTTGGATTTGGTGAACTTGCAGGATGCTGTGCTGAAGAATTCAGCACACACACACACACACACACACAAGTTCCTGTGCTGGAACAGATAACCCAGCAGTGCCCAGCTCAGGAAAGCCTCGAACACCCAGGCAATGACGGCGGGCACAGCACAAGCCCCGACCCTTCCCTGCGAGCAGAAAGTGCAGCTCCAGCAGCACCGGAGCATCCTCGGGGTGAGCGATGCCACCACCCTGGGGGTGCCCTCCTGGCAGCGATGCCACCACCCTGGGGGTGGCACCTTTAAGCTGCCATCCCGTGGGGGGGGAGGGTGACATCCAGCGGGTGACATCCTCGGGCATCCCCCCACGGCCTCCTGCCCTTCCCCAGCAGGATGCCAGCACAAACCGCTCCCCCCTCCTCTCTCCATTCCCCGGACTCGGGGCTGCTCCGAGTCCCCCCCAGCGCGGCCGCGCGTCCCCGCGGGAGGTGCCGGAAGGGACAAAAGCGTCGCGGAGCTCGCTCGGCAGCCCCGGCCCCGCGGCCCCGCCGCCCCCCGCCGGGCGCGCCCCCCGCGCCGTGCCCACCTCGCTGCGGGTGATGCGGTGCCTCGCCAGCTTCACCACGGCGAAGTTGCCCTTGCCCAGCGTGCCCTCGATGTCGTAGAAGCCGACGCGGACGGGCCCGAGCCCGCGGGGCAGCAGCGCCGGGGGCCGCCGGGGCTCGGCCATCACCATGCTGGGCTCGGGGGGCGGCGGCGGCTCCGGCTCTCGGCTCCGCGCGGCGCCCCCGGGGCCGCGCCGCCCCCTCCGCCAGCACCGGCGTCACCGCGCGCGTCACCGCGGGAGGGGCCTCGCCATGGAAACCGAGAGACACGGCCCGCCCCGGGCCAGCGGCCGGGATGGGGCACGGG